AGATGTAAACCTGTGTTTCATTCTTTTCTGCCTAGGATGATGAATGATGGATCTTCTTGACTCTACCCATAGATTTTTGCTTGTGCCTCCTTGATAGTGGCTATGCAACTTCTCCCATTATCTCTTAATGGTGGTACAGCTTTAAAACTCCGGAACTCTCAGTGAGGCTGATTCCATCAACAGCTGTAAAATATCAAAGTGTTAACAGTGATATGTTGCACATGAAGGGTGTCACTGTTAATGCTTTTGGTATATATTGTTGAGGCCAAATAAGGAGCCCTAAGTTACAACTTTGGGTTACATAGCAAGACTAAGACAACTGCATCACCTAATGTTTGCTGTGCTCTATCTATGAGTCAAGTTCTCTTTAAAATTAAACCATGCCCAAATAACCAATAATAATAATAATAAAAATCATCCCAACCACATAACTGTTTCAATATATCTTTCACAAACATTTAGGTCTTTGAAGTAACTTTATATCAGTTAAATCTTACCTCAAAATTTACCAGACTTGATTGCTTTTTGTGAAACTAATTTAAATTTGGCTTCAGATCTTAGTATGAATGAGTACTAACTTTTAACTTATTCACAAAGACTCCAATAGTAAAATACTTGGCTTGAAGGTATACACATCAATTCACCAATTTGCCAAGAAATCAGGTTTCAATCTTTTGACCATTTTTTATGTGCTTTTGCTTAGTATCTCTTCACTCTGTTACATTTCCCTTTGTTTTTTATTATTCACTTACTTCTCTAAGGCTGCACTCTTTTAGATGTAATTTTTAATTAAATTAATCATGCCCTTCCTCTTTACCCCTCTGCCAATATTGTAGTTACTGGTGACTAAAATGCTTAACACACTGAATGGCTTGGCTCTAACACCACTGACCCTGCTGGCACAAAAGTCTTAACTTCTGCAACCGCTTACTCATATAATTAACTTTGCGACTCATTTTCCAGACAACCCTAATCACTTACCTTCACTTCTTGATTTGTGACTTGTCTCTAACACAAGCTTGTGTTCAGTTTCTTCTTCTTTTTTCCTTTAGGTGGTTCTGACCATTCAATGATCTCTACAAATCTTTCATCTTGTTCTTCTTTTTTGGACTCACCAAAGCTGACTGAGATTCTTTTTGTGATTTTCTTTGTGACAGTCTTTGGCCTGACGTTTATTCTCACTCTGCTGATAAATGCACATCCTACGTTACATACTGGATTCAAGCAGGAATGGAAGCCTTTATTCCTTTTTGTCAGTTTTAGGCTCATTCTACTCCATGTTTTCCACTTTTTTGTGCAGCTGCTATATCTAATCAAAATCATTTTTTATCTTTTTAAAAAAAAGAACAACTCTTTTGAAACTAAACACTTATTATTGCAAAAAATCAATTGTAAAAAGGTCTGCTGTCTGATGCTAAGTTCCATTATTCTCAATTTACTAAATTGCATATCTTATCTCAGTGGCTCGAGAGAATTGGAAAAATTGTCAACAGCATCATTATTAAAAGTACATCTAACATTCCATTTTTCATTCATTTCTCCTAAGGATAAGACAGATCCACTTGCAAAGACCTTTTCTTCTTATTCAACTTTTGAATTTTATAGCCATACTCTTCTTTCCATTCCAATTAAACAGATTAGTCCATTGTTAGACATTAAAATCACTCCAGTTTTCATTGGTAAAGTCATATCTCAATTAAACCCTTCTACAACCCTTCATTCTACAATAATTTTTCTATGACTTGTGGTCCACACGACATTCCTGTTATAGTCTTACAAAAATTTTCTCAAGACCTCTTTTTAAATCTCTCTAAACAATTTAATAAATGCTTGACTGAGTCTTGTTTTCCTGCCTGATGGAAAATGGCATCTGTGGTTCCGACTTTCAAAAACTCTGGAGAAAAAAATTCTGACCCCTCCAATTATCATCTGATCAGTTTTCTATCTGTTATTAGCAAGGTCTTAAAGTCTTTAATAAACAAGGCTAGGGCTATTGCTCTCGACATATCTAAAGCTTTCAACAAAGTTTGGCATGCTGGTCTTCTCCATAAGCTTGCTTCATATGGTGTTTCTGGGAAAGTTTTTGAGATTATCAAATCATTTCTTTCTAACCGGTTTATTAAAGTCATCCTTGAAGGCCAACACTCTTCTTTATTTCCAGTAACTTCTAGGGTTCCCCAAGGTTCCATCCTGGGCCCTGTTTTGTTTCTTATCTACATAAACGATCTTCCTGACAACCTTTCATCTAAAGTAGCTCTTTTTGCTGATGACTCAACTTTATACTCCTGTCTTGACAAAAAGTCTTCTCTTTTCGATCGCCTAGAACAAGCAGCTGATCTTGAATCTGATCTCACTTCAGTAATAGATTGGGGTTCACAGTGGCTTGTGAATTTCAACTCTAAAAAAACCCAATTGCTTACTGCAAACAACTACCGTAATATGGTCAACATTCCTATATTTATGAATGGCAATCCTCTTACTGAGTCCTCCTCTTTACGTCTTCTTGGATTATCGCTTACTACTGACCTTTCATGGAAAACATATATACAATCGATTGCTAAATTAGCTTCTGCTAAAGTTGCTTCTCTTTATCGTGCTCGCCATTTCCTTACTTCTGATTCCATTCTCTACCTCTACAAATCTCTTATTCGTCCTTGTATGGAATACTGTTGTCATATTTGGGCTGGTTCTTCTAACGATTCACTTTCTCTTCTTGACAAGGTCCAAAAACGCATTGTAAATGTTGTTGGACCTGGACTATCTGCTAAGCTTGAACCTCTTTCCCATCGTCGTAAAGTTGCATCTCTTTTTCTTTTCTACAGATACTATCATGGTCACTGCTCAAAGGAGTTATCATCTCTAGTTCCATCAACTAAAATTCATTCTTGTTTTACTCGTCATTCAGCTAAGTCTCATTCGTTTACTGTATCTGTCCCTGCATGCTCTAAAAACTTTTATTCATCTAGTTTTTTTCCTCGCACTTCAATCCTTTGGAACTCTCTCCCATCTTCATGTTTTCCTGACTTATACAACCTTCAACTTTTCAAGTCTTCTGTCAACCGTTTCCTTGCTCTATAACTCTGTTTGTTTTTTTTTCCTAGTAACTCCCAACTTAATAGTGGTTGCTTGCAGCCTTGTTGGGAGTGAATGCAAATAAAAAAAAACAACAAAAAAACAAAAAAAAAATTATAAACATTCTATTTTGAGACAAACAACAAAAGTTTTCAATCCTCTTGCTCTACAGCTGACTTGCTAACTGCTGTGACTGAAAGATTTTATTGCGCACTTGATGGAGGTGGCAAGGCTAAAGCTGTTGTTTTTGACATATCTAAAGCTATCGATAAAGTTTGGCATGCTGATCTTCTTCATTAGCTTGCTCTATATGATGTATTTAGGAAAGTCTTTGAGATTATTAAATCATTTCTTTCAAACCGCTTTATTAAAGTTTTAATCTCAAAGGCCAACACTCTTCTTCATTTCCAGTAACTTCTGATGTACTTCAAGGCTCTATTCTTTTTCCTGTTTTGTTTCTTATCTAGATTAATGATCTTTCAGACAACCTTACACCTAAAGTGGCTCTATTTGCTGATGACTCAACTTTATACTCCTGCCTTGACCAAAAGTCTTCTTTTTTCGATTACTTAGAACAGACAGCTGATCTTGAATCTGATCTTACTTCTGAAACAGATTGGGGGCTTGTGGTGGCTTGTGAATTTTAATTTCAACAAAAGTTATTTACTGCAAACAACTATTGCAATACTGTTGCAATAACAACCAATAGTTGTTTGCAATAACCACCAACTTAATAATAACTTGTTGATAGTGAATCAGAATAAAAAACTTAAACAAAATTTTGAAAATTTTTGAAAAAAATTGAAAAATTTGATACTAGCATTAAAGAAAAAAATGTCAACACTCAGTAATCCATATGAATTACTTACATATAAAATCCTATTCTGAACAGATTGTCAAGAATAAAATCATGTAGTGAATTTAAAGTCAGAGAATAAGGTTCAGATCATGTGAATTTAAAATCAGAGAATAAGGTTGAAAAGTTAAAAGCAAAAAATAGTACCTTATATATACATACACACATATATAGTAAAAATTTAATTACTATTAACGTTCTTATTCAAAATTGAATTATTTATTTAAATCAAATAAAAATTTCTTAATGAAAGTTTTATAGTATACTTTAAACACTAAAGACATCACTAATGACATCAATGTATATTAAATTCTAAAATACTTAATAGAAACAATTTTTTGTTGATATTTTTAAAAGCATTACTATATAGAAATCAGAAAGAATTTAATGTACTGTTGTTTAATTATAGATAGATGTGTTAGGTAAAAAAAAAAGTGGTAATATCTTTCCATGAAACTGATATAGTAGTCCTTTTAAAAATATCACCAAAAAAAATGTAACAATTTATTAAGAAAAATGTAATTAATTGAACCAATTATATAAAAAAATCTTAAACCATTTGTTATGATCTGAATTTAATAGCATCGTCACCGAACCTTTTTGACAAAGGTTCGGTGACAAATTTTTATATAAACTTTGTGCATTTTGTCAACTCCAAAATATATATAAAAAATAATAAGAAGTTTGTATTAGGAATCCTAATACAAACTTCTTATTACTTTTTATATATATAAGGAAAAAAAACCTGATTTGATTTTAATGATAAGCAATAAAATTAAAACTTTATTTAAAAATATATATATTTTTAATTAATATACAACTTTGTTTCTTTTGAGACACATATTGACATAATATAATATTAGAATGGGAAAAACATCAATTTTTTTATGTTCTGAAAAAAAATTACAAATCTTTGCACACTTAGCTTTCAATGAAAATTTCCTGTCATATTAAAATAGTCATCTGTAGAGGCTTTGGTACATGCATTTGGTACATGCATTTGGTACATACATTAACTGCGATATTTTTCATTATTCAAATAATGACTTTTAAACAACTCAAAACATCATACTTTACAGTAGCTTCTGTAGTTACATGACCACAAGGAACAAAGCAATGAGTAGCAGGACCATTGTCAATATAAAATGCTGGTTCCATACCAAATTTTAATGATACAAAATAGCCTTCCTGAAAAAAATTTCTAACAAAATTCTAATTACAAATTATTATATACAAACATAGAAAAAGTAATAAGACAAATATATATATATATATATATATATATATATATATATATATATATATATATATATATATATATATATATATATATATATAAAATATATATTATAACAACAAATTATTATATTAAAAAAAACAAAATAATATTATTAGAGTATTAAAAAAAAACCTGTTCACAAAATGTACATATTCTTTTGTCATAATAATCTTCAGTATCAGAAGTAACACCAGGTTTCATTCCCCATTTATGATAACCATGCACATGACCACAAGTTGTATAGACATAAGGATCGGTGAGGTCAATGTTCTACAATCAATATAGTGAGATAAACAATTTTTAACAGAAAATATAGAAGTCAAAATAATAAAATTATCTATGGAACGTGAGAATTAAAAAACAAAGCCAAATATAGAAAAAAAAAACAAAGCCAAATATAGAAAATTAGAAAAATATTTATAAAGGTGTGTGACTCTAACTGATAAACTTAGGAGAATTATGACAAAATTTTTAAAAACCACCTTAAAGGGATACCAAACCTCTGAGACATGTTGTGTTCATATTAAAGAGAATGATAAAAAAAAATCCCAAACCTCCAAGACATGCTGTGTTTATATTAAAGAGAATAATAAAAAAAAAAATGTTTGCGCTAAATTTTTTTGATTAAAACAAAAGAATTAATGAATACCAAGAAAAACTAATTTTTTTATTTTAGTCGAAGCTGGCATTCTGTTTTATTGTAGGCCTAAAAGTCAGCGTAATATATGCTGCAATCTACAGAATTGATAATTTATTCAAGCGGATTTTATTCCTAAGAGTTTTAGTACATAACATCACTGATTTTTGTTTGTCTATCACTTGCGCAAACAAAAACAACAACAATGACGCCATGTACTAAAACGCACTTGAATAAATTATTAAGCCTGTAGATTGCGAAGTATATTATGCTGACTTTTAGGCCTACAATAAAACGGAGAAGACGAGTTTTGATTAAAATTTAGATTTTTCTTGGTATTCATTTATTCTTTTGTTTTAATCAAAAAAATTCAGCCCAAACATTTTTTTTTATCATTCTCTTTAATATGAACACAACATGTCTTGGAGGTTTGGGATCCCTGTAAAGAGATATAAGTCCACAACTCATAAACTATTGATAACAATCTAGAAACTGAAAATTGGTACTGAAAATGCCTAAAGCATTTCTAAAGTGAATGCTAAATGACTTGAAAGTATTTCTAAAGTGAATGTTAAATAATTCAAAAACATTTCTAAAGTGAATGCTAAATGATTTAAAAACATTTCTAAAGTGAATGCTAAATGATTCGAAAAGTAGAACCAGTTAGTATGTGTAAAAATGTACTGAGCAACAGAGACAAAGTAAAAGGGCATAACTTTTGTGTATTAAATTTTTACTAACGAAACTAAAAAATATTTTATTATTTATAAATATTTTATAATTTTTGTATAAGTTTAAATTAATTTATAAAGAATATTTTACAAAAAAAAAAAAAAAAAAATTCTTTTTTGAAATAAAATGGTGTTTAACATTTATAAAATTATAAAATAAACTAAGCAGGTAATTATGCATAAATAATGTAGTTTTTTAAAAAAAGCATTACTGCATGATTACAATAAAACTGCTTAAAGGTTTAGAATTATTTTAGAGTTTGCACTTTTGATTTTGTCACAATATATTTAAACCAATTTTTACTAAAAAAAAATTGTCTAATGTCATTATATTAATTTAGGATTTCTAAGTTTCGCTTTATGCACTGACATATATACACATGTTAGACACAGTATATTCACATTATACACATACAGAATATACACATGTTATACACATAGTATATACACACAGTATATACACATATACAGTTATACATATACATACACATGCTGTATAAAAATCTTTAGTTAAATCTTTTTTTTTGCACTCTAAAATTTTTGCACTCTCACACACAAAAAAATTCTTATCAAAATGAAAATTTTCCTCAGTAAATCTGCAATTTTCTAGGTCAGTAAATCTGCAAGCATACAATTACTCATTGTAATTTTATACTAAACATAAATTTTTTTATTGCTACACATTATTTGTTGTCATTTTAATATACTTGTTCATTATGCTTTTGTTTCTTTTGATCTAGATTAAAACTTACAAAGAAAAAAAATTTGTAGAACTTGTAGAAAAATTAAGGTCAAATTTAGAACTAAAATTAATGTTTCATAAATTATAAAAATTGTTTCATTGTTTTAATAAAATATTTATTGAATATAATTTTTAATAAAATATATATTGAATATGAATAAAATTCTAAAAAAAATTAAAAATATTGAAACACTAAGATCAAATTCAGAACAAAAATTAATGTTTCATTGTTTTTAACAAAAAATATTGTTTCATTGTTTTAAAACAAAAATTAATGTTTCATTGTTTTAATAAAATATATATTGAATATAAATAAAATTCTAAAAAAAATTAAAAATATTGAAACCCTAAGATCAAATTTAGAATAAAAATTAATGCTTCATTGTTTTAAAACAAAAATTAATGTTTCATTGTTTTAAAACAAAAATTAATGTTTCATTGTTTTAATAAAATATATTGAATATGAATAAAATATTAAAAATTTTTTATTTAAAAACTCATAAAGTTTATTTTTTTTTATTAACTCTTATAAATCAAATATTTTTTGGCTAGGATGTGAAACCACAGGATGTGTGTTGCACAAACAGACTTATCAAATTCAAATGCGCTAAAAAATCTTTTAGCCAGTTTTTCAATTTTTAAACACAAATAGTGCACAAATAGAAGAAACGTTGGTTAGGATAAAATTCTTTTGTTTTTATTGTGAAAGAAAAAAGCAAACCATTTTTTTCTTCTTAAAGCGCAGAGTTATTAATCCAACAGGACATTGAGCATTCAAACTGTTTAATGCTTCTTGTTGTTTCTCTAAATCCGAAAATGTCTAAACAAAATATTTTTATAAGTTTAGAAAAATTAAGTTTAGATGGTATCTAAAAATCAATAAAAATATATCTAATTAAAAGAAAAATTACAGGCGATTTTGCCATTCCGCCTATAGTCCTCCAAAGCAAAACTACACCACATAAATCAATCAATGAACCATCTTGTAAGATATTTGATAATTCAGTCTAAAAAGTTTAAAAAAAAATCTTTAAATAAAGAAATTGTTTTTTTATTATTTTAATATCACCACACTAATAAATTAGCTCATTAACTGTTTTGCCTCTTTGTTTGGCTGATCGTGAACATCTCAATCCAAATACATCGCCAGATATGGAAACTTCCCGCCAAACTCCAGGTCTCATACTTTTACCCCAAGTATTTTTTGGATGCATTAAAAGAACACCATTTGTAGTCAAACCATCAGAAAACTTGGTACTGCTAGTCCACTGAGGAGCACTCTCCTACATATATTCATAAATTATATTCATATATTCATACATAACACATGTATCTATTATATACATATATTACACACAAAATAATGTTTTCCTTTGATTCTAGGTTGGTAACACCAAAGCTTAATAAATTTTATCAACAGGTAATGACAGTATGTACCGCAGCCTACATGTTTATGCAAAATGATAATTTATTTTCTTTCTGAACAAACAACAAATAATTTTTTATTAATTATTTAGCATAAGTTATTCACAAATTCAATTCAATTCAATTCAATATATTCTGAAATAGGTTGTAAAATTTCAAGGACTTTTACAAATAGTACAAGTACTAATCTAAAGTAAAAACCTGCAACATTACAATAAAAGTGATTATAATAACAATAGTAATAGTATTGATAATAATTATAGAAATAATATTAACAATAATAATAAGATGACGATGAAAAGGAATATTATTAGTAATAATACTAACAATAATAATAAAGATAATAGCAATAATAGTGGTAATAACAATTACATAGTATAAGTAGTAAATAAACTTAAGAAAAAATTAAAAAAGCAATAATAGTACTTATTATGTTATAAATAAAAATAACAATTTACTAATAAAGATAGAAGAATATTATTAATATCAATACTAATAATAACAATAAAAATATGAGAACAAAAAGTTAATAATAAAACTAGTAGGTATCAAGAAAGTAGTAATAGTAAAAGCATAACAACATATTTCAGAGTCTTCAGGTATAATATCTTGCTAAAAAATAGTTAAAAAGACAGTTTTTGAAATTAGTAATAGATTTTAATTGTGAATTGATTTTAATGTATAGTAATAGATTTTAATAGTCAATTGATTTTAATGGTGAAGGTAGACTGTTCCATGATTTTACACTTTGGTATCTTATGGATTTTAGACCATACTTTATAGAAGAATGATTTGGTATATGAAGATTATAGCTATTAGCAGATCGTAGATGATAGCGACAGCCTCCTCTAACAGTAAAAAAATTTGTAAATGTGCTGGGTAGACATTTTTGTTTATAATTAAAGACAAAATGGCAATTTAATAGTTGAACTAGATCATCAATTTTGAGTATTTTGGATTTTGGACAAATATTACACATATTTACTAACAATAACTTAGAATAATTTATTCACATATGCTATTCTTAATATTCACAATAATTTAACATAACTTATTTACATATCTTATCATAATATAAAATACTCTCTTACTTTAAGAACAATTCGATTTTTCGAGTTAAATCCCCCAGAAAATAATCGAGTATGATAGGGTGGACTACGATCAACAACCAATCGACAAGCATATCTTGATATTGTACTTTGCTTTAAGGCTGCTTTAATATTATTCTTCTCTCCTGGTATTGTATCTATAACTATATAATCAATAATAGTTTCTGTTGAACGTCCTATTTGAAAAAAATCTGTTTTGTGATCTTTTTTGAACTCTACTACACTACTGACTCCATCTTCACCAGTAAATGTCACAGTGTAATTCTGGGCAATTGCCTGAAAATAAATCAATTTGTAATAGCAAATAATGAAATAATCTGTTAAATTAAAGAGTTTAAAAGAAATTTCTAAAACTATAACCTTTTTAGCTTGGTCGCTTAATGCATTTATTTCTCTATAAGGTTTTATTCCATTTGGTACTTTTCTTTTGCAAACACAATATTTATGTTGAAACCTATCATCTCCTTTGAATGGTAGCTGCCCATTGTATCTAAAAAAGTTAAATGATTAGTTAAATATTAACAAACTATAATATAATAAAATACCAGATCATGTACACAGACACACACACAAACAACAACATTGGATATGTTGACTTAAGACAGGAATCCAGGATGACGGTTTTTCTGTTTAACGCCTATGGTTGCACACTAGTATTTTTATTGTGAACCTAAACTTACCCATAAAAAAATTGGAAACTTTATAATAGCAGTTAATATGACAACTTTGTTTAGGTCTTTTTTAAAATCTGTTCCTCTTTCAAAACTTATATACATCAGGGCTCGAATTAAGCGTATCGCTATCGCAATTTGCGATTACTTTTCGCACCTTCGCGATTAGTTTTTTCTTAAAATTTTTTTTTTCCCGACCATTCTTTTTTTCGCGATAATTCTTTTATCATTTTAGAAAAATCTAATTTTAGATAATATTAATCGCGAATATTTAGCGTTCTTTTACAGTATAAAACTGCAGTGACTTCTGTAACAAAAATTTTTTTTAAAAGCGGAACATAGAGTAAAAGAAAGAAAAATAAAATATTTAGAAAATCAATTAGCAAAAATGTATTAGTAAAAATGTAAAAAAATACCTTTTCGAATCAAGTAATAAAAGATTTTGATTAAAAAAAGAAATAAAAGTTAATTGATTGAAAAGTCATTTTCTTAACTCGAATTCTCAAGGGCTTAATTCTGATTTTGCTCATTCATTATGAACAAATTTAATGATATTTTTATAAGTTTAATTTGCGAAGAATTGTGGAAGGCAACACAGACTCTAAACTAGTTATTAAAAAAAAACTCTCTAAAGTTTGTTAGTATACTTGCTAACTTTAAATTAATAGCAATAAATGGATGCAAATAAGGACCACAGACGCAGATTATCTACAGTTAAAAAGTGGGAAAAACTTTTGAACTGCGAGTTAGAATACGATTTAAATGGAGATGAAGTTATAAGATTAAGATGCAGTTTATGTAAAAAATTTGAAAAACAGATAAGTCAAACAAAATTGTTTTTTATGACCTGGATCAAACCAGGAACAATATCAATAAAAAAAGACTCACTGGCAGCGCACTTAAGTAGTGCGCAACATGAAGAGGCCACGCGAATTCATCAACAAACAACATTAGGTTCAGTTTCATTATTTATTCATAATACTCCTATCGGGCATGGTTTACGTAAAATGGCCGTAAAAGACACCGACTCGTTACGGAAAAAGTTTAATATTGCATTTTACTTGGCAAAACGAGAGCGTCCATTCACAGATTATCCTTATTTGATTGCATTAGAAAAGACTAATGGGGTTACAAATTTAGGAAATTCTTATGGCACTGACCGTGCAGCTGCAATATTTACAGATTATTTTGGCACCATAATTAAAAACAAATTAACTGAATGTTTAAAAAATTGTAGATTTTACTGTGTTCTCTGTGATGGAAGCACAGATTCAGCTGTATCTGAAAAGGAATTGATTTACATTCTTCATTTAAAAGACAGTCGTAGAAGTCGGAAAGTAGAATTCTTATCTATTGAAACGGCTGAGAATTCTAATGCTGTTGGCCTGAAAAAATGTATAACAGACGCTTTTACAAGAGTTGGCATTACCAATTCTTATAAACATCTATTGGGTGTAAATCTTGATGGAGCTAACGTTAATCTAGGAGCTTATGCTGGTTTAGGCGCATTACTAAAGGAAGGTTCTCCTTGGCTGGAAGTTGTACACTGTTTTAACCATCAACTTGAATTTGCTTTAAAAGATGCGTTTGAAAGTTTATCTGCCTTCAAAACTGTTGACGAACTCCTTTTACAACTATATTACTTGTATCAAAAGTCACCAAAGCACTACCGAGAACTACAAGGATTAGCCGAAGCTTGGGGTAATAGCGTTCCGAAACCAACAAATGCATACGGAACTCGGTGGATTGATCACAAGTATAAAGCAATGAAAATTGCTTTAGAAAATTATGGTGTGTTTATGACACATATTGAATCATTGGCTATAACAGACTCCCAGATAGCAAAGAGAGCAGAGTTAAAAGGTTTTTTAAAGCGATGGAAAAATGCGTCTGTGCCAATTAATTTATCAATATATCTTGATGTTTTATCTCCTCTTCGGCGTTTGAGTTTAAGTTTTCAGAACAATATTCATGATCCAGTAAAAGCTGTAAGAAGAGTCCAAGAATTTACATGGACAATGGCCAAGCTGCATATTCTTCTAGAAAATTCATTAGACAATTTTCTTGATGATACAAGTGTTATGACCCATTATAAAAGACTGTCTAAAGATATTGAGACAATTGATTCAAAGCAATGTTATCAAAATATTCCACTTTCTCAATATAGCAAAGTTAATAGCCATGTTCTTGACCAGTACAAACTAATTATTGCAAATATTACCATATGTATGGAAGGCCGTTTTCAATCTCTCCAAAAATCACCATTGTTTATGCATTTGGTAGCTTTACTTGACGTTTATAACTGGCCGTTGAATGTGAATGACGGTACTTTTGGCAATAAAGCTATCGGTGAAGTTGTTGAACATTTTTCTGAATTTTTAATTGGTGTAGGATGTGATTTGAATAATATACTTCATGAGTAAATCATTTTTAAAGCATACATGTTTCCCATCATAAGTAACAATCAAAATGAGTGTTATTTGAAAATTTGGGAAATTGTTTTTTCCAAATCAAGTTTGGTCAAAGAATGCCGAAATATTCTTGACATTTTTGAATTATTTTTAATTTGTCCTTTTACAAATACGAAGGTAGAACGAATGTTTTCATGTATGAATTGCGTAAAAAATGACTGGAGAAGTTGTCTTAGACAAAATCGTTTAGAATCTCTACTTCGGATAAGCAAAGAAGGTCCTGAGATTGACAAATTTGAACCTGATACTGCTATGGACGAATGGTATAATGATAAAGTTAGACGATTGTCAGCAAATTTTCATTGTTATCTGGAAAAAAGAAAAAGAAAGTCAGGAAAAACAGACATTGATCTAGCGACAGTTACAATATCAGATTTGAAAGAAAGTGAGAGCGAGGAAGAATATTGTGACAACTTTTAATTTTATTTTAGCGCATTGTAACCCCTTAAAATTAAAATATCAAATAACAACTTTAAATGGCGTATGATTTTTAGCTTCGTAAAAATACTTTTACGTAAAAATCCTGAAAAATTCTAAGCATTAAACTAGTGAAATTATTACAAAACGATAAAAATATTTACGATTACGTTCCAATACTTTTTCTATTAACAATCAAAAAAAGTATTAGATCGTAAAAGATACTATTATTTAGACACATTTTTTTCTTTCGCTTTATTTCATTGAATGAAAAAAGTGAACGCTAACTTTTATTAAAAAATGCATCGAATTAAAAAGCAATAGATAAAAATATCATCGGAATTTGATAAGGTTACTTAGATAAGAAAACTGACTTAATAAGAATTTAATTATCATTCTTGTTTGTTGCGCATGTTTTCGTCAAAATGTTAAGTTTTAACATTTTATCACAATAATGTTTTCGTCATTTTTAATAGTTTTTTTATAACTGTTTCAAAATTAGAGTTTTAAATAATTTTTTTTTACTGTTAAAAATTTATAAAAAATTAAATATTCAAGTTGTTTTAAACAGTTTAAAATATGTAAATAGTTTAAAATAGAAGATGAAATAATTAATTAAAAGAAGGTTAGAAATATCAAGTTCATTGATTTTACAAAAATACAACCGTTAGATGTAATGCAATATGATAATAGTAATAATGTAAATTATAACTAAAGCTATTTTACAACCGCTAACCGTAAATGTTTTGATATCTTATGCAAACATGAGACATTATGTATGTTAATATAAATAAGTTAAAATAAATAATGCCCCCCCTCCCCGCAGGGGAGGAGGGGGAAGGAGTTATGAGCAACAAAAAAATCACGATTAGATTTTTATACGTTAATTCGAGCTCTGTACATAGACAAAAATTCTGAAGGCTCTCAAGAATTTTTGTCTATGTATATTTTTGTACGCCCTCAGGGCTTAATTATATACAAAATACATGCGTATATAGAATCTAATTGACTTCCTCAAACTGCAAAGCAACTTGATCCACAGTTAAATACGGCGACTATTTGTAGTGAGTCACATCACAAGCAATATGATATCATGTATTTGGTACATCTAGCACTCCATGTTTCCATTTTATTGGTTCTGGATCAATTGAATTACATTGATAACAAAAATATGACCATTTCAGAAGATATTAGCTGGGCTCCTCTTGTCTCCTCAGAATTGCAACATTTATTTAGAGGTTTCAAGTCACATAGCTTAAAATTTATTTGATCTTTTTACATTAAAACTTGTACTTAGCTATTTTCAGGGGTGAAGAATCCAATAAAATGATCAGAAATATAAAAAGTTATTATTAAGTACCTGTATTTATCAATTTAAATAAATTTCGGCAATTCTTTTTATACCTTTTGATGTTCAAGGCCTTGATGATATCAAAAAAATATTTTTACACAGCAATCTATATTCATTGATTTTTTAAGGATTTTGATTTGTAAGTATATATATGTATAGATTTCTATATATGTATATTTGGGCCGATCCCCACTTTTTTTAGCAGAATATTGCAAATAATTTTTTTCCTACCTTCCAGACTAGCTGGAGCTCTGAAACTTTTGGGATTTCTGAAGTGCTGATAAACATGCATTTTAAAACTGTTTCCAGGGCCCAAAACACCGGGGAGGAAGGCTGGGTCATGTGCCCCACTTTTTTTTAACGGAATCTTAAAATAGACTTTTCACTACCTTCCAGACAAACTGGAGCTCTAAAAAGTTCAGCATTTATGTAGTACCGATGAACATGTGTTGAAATTGTTTCCAGAACTGACTACCAGAGGATCAATAGGGCCAGGGCACTAGGGGCCATGTCCCACTTATTTTCTCTGCTTTTTAAAACCTTTTTATAATGATGGCATGTTGTTAAAATTTTGTCATTT